CTATAATATTCTTATTCATAGAGAAAATCTCAAGAATCTAGAGAAATGAAACTTGTTAATGTTATTATTAGGTACCAATATGGTCCATCAGAAAAAATACGTTTTGTTCCAAAAAACATGATGACGAACATTTCTATTAACTCTCCAAACGAAATTCAAATCTATCTAGTATTACACGGGTGAATTGAAGTAAATATAGGAACAATAATTACATGTTAAAATCGGGGTACGAAATTGTGGAAATACCGCAGGAGGAGATAATAATATCACATGCAGTCTTGAAAATTACTAATTAATTGAAAATCTTGAAGCATTATTCCCCTATATAATTCGATCACATCTCATGTAGATACGTTGCCAAATCCTCCCGTCGATTCGTTAAAATCAATTCAGTTTAATTATTATATCAAACTTAATTCTGATTAACTTCAAAGCAAAGAGAATAAGATTTAGTTAGTTCTGCTAACGCAATAACAAACTAACCCCTTCACTAATTAGCTCGAGGGCGGGTATAGATAGTATAGATAGACACACAAGCCATACGGAATGGGGAAAATCATTGTCTACATTCACCAATATAATACATATTGTTTACCTGCAACGAGCTCAGTTATCCATATGTACCTATAGGTATAGTTTTTCCGAAACCGGTGGAACAAAAATTAAATTTCATCAGTCTGGAGAATCTTTTCATCAGAAGAATAATCATGCAAACATGAAATGAAATGATTCCGTTGAAGTTTGAGTTTTTAGTACACTTTTTTCAATTTCTGAAATAGCAACTCACATTGCATTTCAGAATGGGCCACTTGAATTATATCAGGATAGTCACTTGTTTTTCAGAATAGTCAATTGCTTATTAGCAAGCGTCAATTGTATTTGAATTTCAGGATTGATCAAGATTGAATAGTGTGTACAAAATACTTGGCTATTTATAAAAAAACGAACAACTCAATGATGGGTTGTATCAATCTTGATAACTCTGAAATACAAACAATGCAAAGTTCCTAGAGATCTAAATGATATTCGATAGACTCTTAATTGAATCTAATAAATCTCTGGCATGCACAATACCAAAACAAAATATTCAGGATACAATTTTTGTTGAACCTGTGACAAGCACCAATTGATAAGCAATTTAAAAAACAAAAACTCAACTGGTATGGAAGAAATTTCTATAAGATAATTGAAATTCTGCAAAATTGAGCTATCTGAATCCATTGCCTTCCTTTTCAATAAATCTATTGAGCTAGCACAGTTTCCAGATGACCTGAAGCTGGGAAAAGTGGTACCAATATATAAGAAAAATGATCCACTAGCTGCTGAAAATTACAGACCGATAGTACTACTCAGTCATCTTTCCAAACTAATAGAGGAAATATAGCGAATAGGTTATACAATTTTCTGGAAGCATATAAAATTCTATCCCCTTTTCAATTTGTATATCGAACAGATAAGTCAACAGAACTAGCCACCATAGAGTTTATTCAGACTATCTATGGACATCTAGATTCTATATGTATAAAAATGAAAACAACTTCCTTGAAAACAGCAATGTGCAATCCAACAAGAAATGCGAGGAAACTACATCTAACCAAATGCAACTTAGGTAAATCCAAAAAATCACCAAATTATGCAGGTCCTGAAATTTTCAATAAATTTCCTGTTAATCTGAGAAGCTTGAAATCTTACCAAGCATTTAGAAAAGCTTTGGAAGAATACTTGGTGGAAAAATGTTTTTATAACTTTGTAGAGTTCATGCAATGAATAACCACTAAATGTACTAACATCTTCACCCAGAATGAATAATAGGTTGCTATACACTTGTATGTATTCATTATCAAAACTTGGAACTATTTTTATCTCATTAATATTTATATTTTCAATGTGTAATTTTATATGTAAAAACATGTCAGTTTGTACTGACTGCTGGACTCTGATTTGACGAAACCTACTATTATTATTATTATTATTATTATTTAATAAAGTACATATACAAATGACGAATTTTATATTTCATTTGAATATTGATGCCTTCTTGGATGCAAGTAACTGATCACATACGCATCTTTGGTATGGTGGACAAAGACAAACCAAAAAATAGCAGCGGCTGAGTTGAGCAAGGTACAAAGACTTGCATGCCTAAGGATAACGGGAGCTATGCAAACGACACCAACAGCCGCCATGGAAGTACTACTAAACCTCCCCCCGATAGACATAGTTATCATGGGAGAGGCTAGAATGGGACATCTAAGGCTACAAAACACGAGCGATAGATCGGGACACAACAAGATAAAGGAAATAGTGGAAGGAAACATTCTTGAAATGAAACCAACGGACCACATTACCCCAATATACTGCTACAACATGAACTTCGAGGTGATCATGCAAGATCGAAGGGAATGGACAGATGACAACATCAAGGGCAAACCTGGAGAGAAGATCTGGTACACAGACGGGTCCAAGACCAAGGAAGGCTCTGGTGCTGGAATTTACAGTGGAAGGAGAAACTCCCAAATGAGCTTTTCACTGGTAATAAACACTTCCGTATTTCATGCGGAAATGTACGAAATCTTGCAATGTGTAAGAACAAACAATATGAGGGAAGTGCGCAATTCACGAATCAAAATATGCACCGATATAGCCAGGCGTCACTGAAAGCTCTCACTAACCCGAAAGTGACATCCAGACTGGTACGGAAATGCAGAGAAGAACTCAATGTCTTATCAGAACATAACGAAAAAAAGCTGATGAACTGGCAAGAACCGGCTCATCAACTCCATACATTGGCCCAGAACCCGTACTCGGGGTTACAAAAACAGCTACCCGAAGACATACGGGACTGGATCAAGCAGAAACATAAGGAGCGATGGACCGAAGCTCCTCAAATGCACCACGTGGAAGTATTCATTAAAGAACCGTCGAAAAATAAATCTGAAGAACTACTCGAGATGAGTAGGAACCAATATGAGAACAATAACGGGACTTCACTTGTCATAGTCCAACGAGGGGACACCTGAATAAAATGGGACTATACAATGGAAAACTTCTCTGCAAGGGACAGAAACGGTCAAACACTTATCAATAGAATACGAGGCATTGGGTCGCAAAAGACAAGAAATATTCGGGCAGAGCCTAGGACTCCCGGAGAATACCACAGCCAACAGTTGAAGAACCTGTACAGACTGGTGCAGGAAAATAAGAGCTGCGGAATGGGTGTTGTAAAATAAACTGGAATGTATAAAAAGCCCAGGAGGCTAAGATGTAGCCGGTGACAGGACGAGCATCCAAGGAGAAAAAACTGTTCTCAAACACAGTTGAATCTATAGATATATACAGTGTGACCCATTTAAGATGGAAGCACCCTTATAAAACTTACATTTTTCAACCGATTGGAATGATTTTTTTTTGTTAGGTAGATATTCAAAAAGTCTATTAGGACACCAAATATCATGAATAAATCTCCATTTCCAGGGCCAACTAATCTGATTTTTCAAGGTCAAAAATCTAAAAAAACTACTAGCGATTTTTTTAGAAAAAATCTGACTACACCACTGGATTTGTGACATTTTCAAATGGGTAACATGTAAATTACGTTGAAATGCGTCAATCAATAAAAAAGTTATAAAGGAATGGAATTTGAAAAATATGCCGTTTAATCAACCCACCAATTCATGTTCAGGAATTTTATGAAGATTCTGTATACTCCACTGGATTCACGATGTCTTGAAATATTACTGATCACAGTTTCATCGAAATCTGTTCAGTAATAAAAATTGATGGGTTGATTAAACGGCATATTTTTCAAATTTCATTCCTTTATAACTTTTTTAGGGATTGACGCATTTCAACGTAATTTACATGTTACCCATTTGAAAATGTCACAAATCCAGTGGTGTAGTCAGATTTTTTCAAAAAAATCGCTAGTAATTTTTTTAGATTTTTGACCTTGAAAAATCAGATTAGTTGGCCCTGGAAATGGAGATTTATTCATGATATTTGGTGTCCTAATAGACTTTTTGAATATCTACCTAACAAAAAAAAATCATTCCAATCGGTTGAAAAATGTAAGTTTTATAAGGGTGCTTCCATCTTAAATGGGTCACACTGTATATAATGACTCTTTGGCAATTCGTATGATGCTTTTTGATTCTAAATTGGCGATTTCTGAACTGGAAAAGGTATATTATCTTAACTTTTCGAATTGTACTAATAACAAATAATATGTCGCTGATTCACTACGCTCAGTGATTGAAAACATTTTGGAATCTGTCCATTTTGTTGCACTTATATTAGATTATTATACTATGATAACCATTCAAGTTTTATACTCATTACAGACCTCGGTATTCGCAAGTATCGCGACACGTGTTTTGCTATGTTAGCATTTTCTGGAGAATCTCATCTGTTAATTTTTTTGTAAGTTTTCTTCGAGATTATGCACTTACATAGCTACTGTATACTTTATAGTCCTTATCGATCAAATGGGTTATTTCAGTCTTGGATAAAGGATTTACTTCATTTTGTGTTCAATTTATGATTCTTTAATGATGGTGAATGGCCGTTTCCATAAATTTTTGAATAATTATATATGTCGGTTTTCTTGGGTAAAAGATTTGATCATAATGCATGCATCCTATGAGCTAGTTTATCTTGACCATCTTCAGTATTTTATGCCATTTAACGTGAAATTTGAAAGCTTGACGAACTCTACTGCATCACGACAAATGCAAAAATCATTCGAGACTCCTCGAACTGAATGTCTCCTATTCCCACATTATTTGAGATACACAGTTGAAGATATGATGTGATGTACTGGTTTGCGTTATTTTCTATTTTGCGTCTTTGATGAAGTCATTATGACACGACACGATTGACACGACGTTCTGTGCGATTAGAGAATAAACATTCGAATGTTATTTCTTTTGCTACCAACTACAACACATGCGACAAAATAGTGTCTCATAAAACTTGTGAAATAATATACCATTTCATTTCAGACAAGCCATTCACCATCTTGGCACCGCAAAACATAGCGACGAAACACGCGGAAAACCTCCTCCACCAACCCGAACTGATCAAGAAGCTGCTATTCGATCACGTGGTCCTCGGCTCTCTCATTGACCTGACCAACATCACCACCGACATCTCTTTCACCACCCTAGGGGGGCGGACGGTCAAAGTTCGCCCCACCAAAGAGGACAGCGGCAAGCTGTGGGCGAACGAAGCCAACATCATCCAGAGGAAGGTATGTTTATTCATAATGCACTAAAACTGTGTCAAAGTTGTAATTATGAAAAGGAATCCCTAGATATTGTTTCCAACCGACCAAAGTCGTCCATTCTTGTTCCAAATTGAGCTATTGACACAATTTAATTGATCGATATTCCATATCATTCTATATTCTAATGTTTTTAAAATTATGATTTTCCACAACTGTGGTAGGATGAGGTTTCATGTGGGTGGGACGAATATCGCCCCCTCACCGCAACCCCCAGATGAGTCTATTTTGGCTCATCTTTAGAGGCTACAGTCTACCACTCTACTCTCTACAAAGTTCATGAATGAATGAGCTAAGATTTTCCTGGAATCGGTTCTAAAGTTTTATATTCATGAAACCAAATATGTTGAACTTCAGTTTTTCCATGCAAAAGCATGAACATAATATGCTTTCAGCCGTTTCGTCCTCCACATAGCAGGAACGATAGTCTATTTGTTGGTTCAGACCAATATCCATCCTAGGTGGTAACTTACACGACAGTGTCCTGAAGTAAACAGTCCTATCAGAATTTGCAAGTAATTCCTGGTTCATTCTAGGATCTTCCTGGTTATATTTTGCTATTGTTTAGGCAGGAGCGACTTGAAATGAGTCAATCCTGGTAATACACTGGTCTGAAACGAGAGTTTTTTCCACCGCCAAGCTCCAAATATTTGTTCTGATCGCACTTGACTCTGGTCCAATGAACACAGATTCAGTTTGGTGACGATGTTGGCTTTCTCGTTGCCCTCCATCCCCTGGTGTCCGAGTACCAACAACAAATAGTAGGGGAGCCCAAGCGGGGATTCTGGGATTTACTCGATTGCGGAAGAATAACATAAGGAGGGTAATCTTGCACCTTGTGAAGTACTCTCACCACACCTGGGCTCTTTATATGGTGTCGAACGTCTACGGCAGCCGATCAGATTAGTAAAAAAAATCGATTATTGGAAAAACTCGAGCGCGTCAGGTTAAGGCAATATGAGTTATTTACATGCAGAAAAGTGTGCATTTCAATAATCAGACGATTTGAGCCTGACATGAGGCGAGGAAAGAGCCACAAAGTTGCAAATAAAACGTCACCTGGACATTCTCGAGCGCGATCACGGATATAACATAATCTGCCGATCTACACAAGCCAAAGTAGCAAAAATCATCAACTAAGTGTGCGTGCGTGCAGCCGCTAGGAACTATGTTCTTTTCCACTTCGCGTCACTCTGCTCCTCTCAGTCTTTCTTTTTCCTGTCACTCTCTCGCACTGTCTCCATATACATATTGCACAGATCAGAAAACGTCCAAATGCATAACCTGGGCTTACCGCCAAAGCCGAATTTGTACGCGCTTGTCCGCAAAAATAACATTCGACATGAAGATTTGTTTTTACCTGTTGTACTTGAGTATGTAAAAATATACAGAGTGTTCTATTTGGAGAAACGAAGTAACTAGCATTTCCAGAAAAACCGAACGTCCACCATATTGGATTGTATAGTGTGATCAAATTCGAAATAGTCGCTTATAATATAACTGTGCCAAATTTCTGAAAAATCCGTTTACGAATTCAGAAGTTACAAGGGTGGCCCAATACCCTCTGTGTCACCTGGTATGTCTACATAAGCGTTTCATCTTGAAATCGTAAATTCTTTGTGCTATTGAAGTCCTACACAAGAAACTGCCCCACCCCGTATATATTATAATTCAGTTAATACATTCAGTTACCAAAAAAAATTCCAACCGTCAGATTAAGGAAATTCCTATACATAATTGTGAGATTATGGGTCAATACGACAAGAACATTAGGATGACGCGTTTGTATAATAATCTATCGCGCTCGAGTATTTCAAGATCACAATTTTGTTTTTTCATTTTCAAAAATTGGTCATGACTTTTGATCGCGTCCAAACCGTCAGTCTTTTGAATAGGGGCAACTTGAGGGTTCACTTAACATTCCTTCTCAATATCTGACGCGCTCGAATAATTTTTTTTCACCTATTCTCTACCCCCTACGTATGGCCACCCCCACCATGCAAATCGACAGATTGATATTTTTCGGTTATCAGAAACACGTGGGTCGAATACACTATTGATATCTGAAGGGCTCGAGTATTTCTTTGTGACTGTTTTTTTTTACATTTTCGAATACCTGTGCACGGTTCCCTCACTTGTGAAAGGGCATATCTCATATAAACTATTTTTCTTTTTAGCATATCTTATCTTCATCATCTATTAGGTTTCCACGACGCTCTAGTAAATCCCTATTCAGCATCTTTGCCTCGTCTACTGTAAAAGAACCTCCATTGTTTGCTGGAGCTCAGTGTTTTAAGATCAGCCTGACTAGTACAATACGAATATTTTTGTTAACTAGAGGTATATTAGTAACTCTTGCAAACAATTCAATTGCGAACAATTGGGTTAAGAAATTTTATTCTGGCTCTGCTGTGCTGGATAGTTTGGCACAAGACCGCAATTCGATATTTGTATAGTTGAAATATTTCGAAAACTTTCAAGCCGCCCTTCATAAAGGATATGTTCGAAACTTTCTATGATATACCAAAAATCAGGTATGAACTACAAATGTTCAGAACATTTTTAATGAAGACCTCCCTTGTTTCATTAGATTAGCCAAGGGTATTTATCTATACATTTACCTATCCTGAATCAATTACAACTGAAGATTCGATCAGATCATTGGCCATGAAACATTGGAATTATAATGAATCAAAGAACATTCTCAGGTAATAAGTTGAGAAACTGATAGCACAGCCCGCAGAAACTTCAAAACAAAAAATTTTGAGTATTTGTTTAGTTTAATCATTTCGCTATTCTAATCCATTATGTTAATCAAGTTGAAACATATTATGATTGATTGAAGGTGAATGTCCCCAAAGGCATCCTAGTCGTCGTCGACAACTTCCTCTTTCCTCCCGAGCACATCATCAGGAGGAACGAGACGCAAGCGAAGCTCATGGAAGTCGGATTGTTTCCTGCTGCAAAGGAAGGCAGCAAGAACCACTCGAACACAACCTTCATGGAGAACATACTGGAGGTGCTGTCATTTCTCAAGAGCGGAGTCAGGGTGTTTCAGCACTTTTTGACCAGGTCCAATGTCTCCAAGCTGTTGCTTGAAGGTGAGTTCTTAAACCATAACTTTGTCTCTATAAGAGAAACCTCAGACGGAAACAAATGGATATACAGATCTCAGCAACAAGAATCATTTCAATTTCAATACAGCTTTTGTGAAATACTGATTTTAGTGTATTTTTATCAAGAAATATTCTATTGAATTTCCCTTCCTCTTCTCATAACAAATTCAAGTTTTTCTTCCGCTATCTTATGGGTATAATACAGTGTGTACTACAATTGCATTTTGATGACGATACTGCGACATTCTCCCCACCGTGAAATCTTCAATTTTCACCCTGTAGATCTATTCGGCACAATTTGGTTACTGGACGACGATATACACCGTTCTTGGTTTTGACCTCGACGACTCGTACTCTTCCATCACTACCAGGGAACAACTTCTCAATTTTTCCTAGGGGCCATGACTTTCGAGGAAGATTTCCATCGCAGATTACAACAATACTTCGATAGATTTTCCATTTTCTATCCATTTTCCTCTCCTGGAAATGCTCGGCAAGTACTCTCTGATCCATCTCGATGCTTGGTATTGCCATTAACAATAACCTTTCTTGGGAAAATCACGTGAGATCAATTGCTAAAAGTGCATCCCAAAAACTTGATTTTCTGTTTCGGGTCAGGAGCTACTTCACTTCATGTCAGCTGCTTATGATCTATAAGGCACAGATCCGACCTGTCCTGGAATACTTTTTTTTTTTATCGCTTGGAGCGCACGAAAGGGAATCCCTATAATGTTCAAAGAACATCGTGCGTGCCTAGGGAGGATAGGGATAGGAGGTAGGTATTGGAATTTTTTTTAACTTCTGGAGATTATATGTTGTTGGGAATACTTCCTCAGGCAATGAATTCCAGAGCCTAGCCGTTCTATGGATGAAGGAGTTTTGATAAAGTGCTGTTCGACATCTTTCGAGGTTGACAACGAAAGGATGTGCTGACTGGGCTTGTCTAGTTCGTCTGACTGGTATTGCTAGTGAAGGGATGATAGCAGAGATTTCCGAAGCACATTTTCCGTGGAAGTATCGATAGAAAAGTGAAAGGTCGCCGACCTTTCTACGGTGTTCCAATGATGTCAAAGAGTAAGTGAGTGTGGCGTCACCCACCAGGCGGATGGCTCTTCTCTGGATGGAATCTAAGAGCATCAGCGTATGTTTTGGTGCTGAACCCCATATGTGGGAACAGTATTCTAGAACAGGCCGTATCTGCGCTTTGTAGATCATGAGAAACTGTTGAGGTGTAAAGTAGCTTTTCGCACGGAACAAGAATCCGAGTTTTTGTGAAGCAGCTTTTGCGATGTATATTCTGACATGATTATCCCATGAAAAAGTGTTGCTGATGGAAATACCGAGCATAGATCTGGTGGGCTTGGTGGAGATGGTGGTGCCAGACATAACAATGTCGGGCATACTGAGTTCCGCCTTTCTAGAGAAAATACAGGCTTGAGTCTTGGTGGCGTTGAATTCAACTAGGTTGTTGGTTCCCCAGGCTGTGATTTCAGCAAGGTATTCATTGACAGCATTGACCTGCCTGCGACGTGAGTTCTTAGTTTCCTGGGAAGAAATGGGAATTCTGGAAGAGAACGCAGTATGGAGGGTACTATCATCTGCAAAGCTGTGGATGGGGCAAGTTGTTACTCCCAACAGATCATTGATATGAAGAAGGAATAATGTTGGTGCCAAAATTGATCCTTGTGGAACGCCGGAATTGATGCCAATGGTATCAGACGATACACCGTCCACCACCACATGGAGCGATCTGCCTGAAAGAAAACTCGATAAGAGATGGCATAGCTGAGGTGGTAAGCCGTATGATGGTAGTTTGTGGAGGAGTCCTTCGTGCCAAACACGGTCAAATGCTTTCGATATGTCCAACGCGACAGCTAAAGATTCCCCGTGTTTTTTTAATGAGGCTTGCCATAAATGGGTGACGTAGGCAAGTAGATCTCCAGTAGATCTTCGGTGGCGAAAGCCGTATTGTCTATCATTGATGATTCCTGAGCTCTCCAGATATTTGATAAGCTCAATGTTAATGGCTTTCTCCATCACTTTGGAGATTACTGATAAAAGGGCAATGGGCCTGTAGTTGTTGGGCAGGTTCTTGTTCCCTTTTTTGGGGATTGGTTGGACTCTAGCTGTCTTCCAGCATGATGGAAAAATACCCGACCTGTACGAGACGGTAAACAACTTGCAGAGAATCGGTGTTAATTCTGGTGCACATTTTTTGAGGATAATGGGTGGAATTCCATCAGGACCGTTAGCCTTATTCGTTTTGAGACCAAGCAAAATTTGTCTGATAGTGCGTTGACGGAAGACGATTTCGGGCATTCGACTCTCAACCGGTGGAATGTCTGGCGGCACTTTTCCTTGGGAATCTAAAGTAGAGTTTGCTGCGAACATCTCTGCAAAAATATTTGCTTTCTCCTGCGATGTTGTTGCTAATGTGCCGTCGGATTTGGACAGTGGTGGAAATGAACTATTAGTGAAATTTCTTCCGACCGCTTTAGCAAGGGAACAAAACGAACGGGAGCCATTGGGACATTCTATGAGTTTCGATCTTATCTTGGAATTGTATGTTTCTTTCGAAGCATCTATTGTTTGGCTGCAGTAATTCCTGGCAACAACGTATTCTGCTCTAGTAGCGGGGTTAGGGTTTTTGCGCCAGCGATGGTAGGCTGTTTGTTTCAAGGCAACAGTTCTAGAACAGTTTTTGTTGAACCAGGGTTTCGATGGTGATGATCTTTTCAAAGAATGAGGTATGTATGTGTCCATTCCGAGCATGATAATCTCGGATATTTCCGCAGCACACTGTGAAGGGTCCTCAGAGTCAAAGCATACTCTATGCCAAGGAAACTCAGAGAAAAACATGCGGAGACCGTCCCAATCTCCTGAATTGTAATGCCATATCAGACGTGGGGGTGCCGGAGCAGTTGATGGCATGAAGAATGGGCAGGTTGTGGAGATGAGTGTGTGGTCAGAATTGCCAAGTGGAGCTCGTACATCTATGGTGCTGCTCTCATATTTGGATTGCAGCACCCAAACATACCCTGAAACTGTTGGATTATGTCCGAAAAAGGGCAATTTGTCTCGTGGGTCTCGCTCACAAACTCACTCCCTTCTCTGGAACACCGTAGAAAAGTTGGCGATCTGGCTGTATTTTATAGATATTTTCATGGACGTAGCTCTTCTGAAATATCAATAATTGTACCTCCCCTAGCAGTCCCCGCGAGATTAACCCGTCGAGTTGAGGCTTCGCACCCCTTCTTGGTCACTTCGGAGACCTGCAGAACATATCTATTTTCGAACACTCGTTGATCCAACGAACAACGAGGCTCTGGAACACATTGCCAAAGAAGGTGTTCCCCGAGGCATATAACCTCCAGGAATTTAAGAAGAACACCAATTCCTACCTTATTTCCCTTGGTTCTCACGATGTTCTCTGAATATTGCAGGATATCCCTTTTCGTGGGAACCAGAACATAAAAAAAATCACCCCTTAAATTTTTTCGGCGTTATTTAGATACACCCTGTATGAACACTCTGCCCAGTACAGCCTGACAAAGTCAGACTCTGTAACTTCTCCGCGTACAGATACGTACCCTTCAACGGTAAAGAAAAATGAAAAAAGAAAGATGTATGAAAGAAAATCTCGTCGCGAAACCGTCGATTCCACTTATTTCAAAAGAGAGCAGTAAAAATCAATCGAACGCCACGTTCTTCGAGAACATTATGAAGGTAGGTACTTTTCGTAGCTCCAGCGGTGAACTTCGGCTCTTTCAGCTCTCCTTATCGCGATCCGGCTTTTCCGAGTTAGTACATGAAGGTGGGTAATTGAAATTTAATCTGATGCAGTTTTATTTATGGGTCTCACTGTTTTCGTGGCTTCTCATTTATATGCAAATCGATTCTCTTTTTCGTCGTTACAGGTTATGCATTCATTGTTGCACGTTTAACGGATATTTCGTATTATTTTACGAGGACAGCTTCTGCACTTTTGTAACACTTCAAATACAATTTCTGCACGTTTTGAAGAATAATTTGCATAATAGGGTATTCGAACGATCACTTCGGGCGTATTTCGTTACATCTGCCATGAAGTGATAAGTGATGATATTACCAATGAAAGCAATTGTCAATATTAAAGATATCCTCAACGTCCCATATTCATAATAGCATTCGTCTGTGTGGTGCGGTTTGATATACCCCAAGGGTACTAAATATATACAGGGTAATGCAAATTTCATGGTACACTATTGTTAAATCAGAAACGAAGAGAGATGCGAACTAGGTTAAATTACGAAAAAAATGCGCCATTTCATGACCATCTCGAAAGAAATCGATATCTTCTATAATTCCTGAAATATCCTGAAAAACTGAAAACCATCGACTTTCAGTTATTTTAAATTTCATTAAAAAAAAGTTCTCTCTAAATATCGTCAAAATCTTCTGTCCAATTTTCAGACTTGACAACCTCTTTTCTTTTTAGAATCATTCAATAAATCACCACCTGATCGAATAAAACTCTATGTAATACTTACTATCAGATTCCACACTGGTTGCCATACCGTTGTAATGAACGGGTATCTTAGACAAAATTATGTAAATTTCTGAATTCTTTTGAACTTAGTACAGTGAAGAATACAATAATAACTTTTATCATGCGTCTATGAGGAATAATTCGAAAGAACTAATTAGGCAATATTATTACATGAACGGACGAATGTTCATTTTGAATTGAGTGCAGCATCATTAGCATAAACAAATGTATAGAATAAGTAGGTACGTTTCCTTTGTAAAACGAAGTTACTGGTCACCTAGGAACAAAGCAGGTTAATATCACAGGACCGAATTACGAGAGACAAAAATGACGTTGATGAGAATTTGCAGAGAATTTATTAGTTCAGCAAAGAGGGAGTGACTTTAATCTGATCGGCTCGAAAGATCAATAAATTATTATTCAGCCCAAATAAGTAAAGGAAAGAGCATGTCATTGT